AGGGACTGGTCCTTGGAGAGGGACATCATGTTTCGTAGAGTGGAGGGACAGAGCAGGAGAGGAAGACCTTTGAGGAGATGGATTGATTTTGTGAGTGGAGTGGTGGGAATGAAAGTGTTTGAGATGGTGAGGTTGACACAGGATAGAATGGCATTTAGGGCTCTTGTACATAGGGTCGCTATGAGTCGCAAACGACTCAATGACACATAACAACAACAGCAGTATATATACACACACGTATAGATATATATGTATGTGTGTATATATATCTATATTATTATATATAATTTTTAATTTCTTTAGGGCTATGGACATGCCTTTCTCAGATTTTATTAATCAGGGTAATAGATTGTAGGACACCAGGTACGTGATACTGTCCAGACCTCATCAGCAGTGACAAGCCATTTCTTACCTCTCTCTTGGCAAAAAACAAGAACCCCAAACTACAAGTGTTCTGACCCTGGATAAATTGTAAAATATATGCGTGAGGAGGGTGCAACAACAGCAAATGCAAAGTCTCCAGATAATGTGTTTTGTTGTCAACGTTGTTAGTGGTTTTGAGGTGTAGGAAAAATCGTTCTTTTTTCCTAACGTATTCTGTGGCAGAACTCATTCTAATTCTGAGGAAAATGTTCCATCAGAGAGTTCAAGTTTGATTTTATTTCACATACAAAACCCTACAATGCACCCCTGATAAGGTGCAGGGTTATAAAAATCCGAACTTTCTGGATACTGCCTGGAATGCTCAGTCTCAGGTGCATGTAAGGAGAGGTGGTAGGTGTCCCCAGCTGCTACCTGGTGAGATGCAGCATCAAGTGTCCAAGAAGCACATGGCCTGGGTCACTTGTCCTTGGGAGATGGCAAAAAGGTGTCCCATAAAAACGTAATGTGTCACAAGGTAGTGGATTATTACATTCTAGGCATCCCAATCTCCAAAATGATGCCTAACATACTCCTAAGGTCAAATATAAGAAAATTAAGTTATTGAAACTTTGTCTATTAATGAAGGCTGCAAGTATAGTTTTAAAGAGGACTGTTTAAAAGGGATACATTATTGGGTATTATTGTCATGTCAGGAGTGTAGAATGAAGGCTGCACAGTGGAGTGGACTTGGGGGAAGGGATTGCATAACAATGAAAGAGTTTTTCTTTTATTTTTCAATCAGAAGAGTGAACTGGGGGGGGAGGGGTCGGCAGGGAGAAAAGTGCAACAATGAATGAATGGAAACCCTAGCTCTGTAAATGTCCACTAAAATTAATGAAAAAAACTATCATAGTTCTTAAATAGTGGAATTTTTGAGATTTTTTATATTGCATTAACAGAAGTGGTGTTTTCACTGTTTTTCAAGCTAGAGAACTAACTTGGAAATCATTCGGTCAAAGGTTTCTCATAGAATCAAATTAACGTACTCATCTCTTCGTGTTTGACTCTTTGAGGCCACTGTAGACATTGGATGTCATTCATGAGAACACATCTCAATATCTATGTGTTGTTGTTGTTGTTATGTGCTGTCGAGTCGCTTGCAACTCATAGCGACCCTATGTACAACATCCCTGAACTCTGCTCTGTCCTGTGCCAATCACACCATCTCTGACACACTCATCCCGATTACCCCAGTCACTGAATCAATCCACCTCATAGGGGGCCTTCCCCTTCTGCGCTGTCCCTCCACCCTACCAAGCATGATGTCCCTCTCCAAGGACCTGTCCCTCCTTGCAACATGTCCAAAGTATGTTAGACGGAGCCTTAGAATCCTTGCCTCCAAGGAGCAGCCTGGTTTAACCCTTTCCAGGATGAATATGTTTGTTTTCCTAGCAGTCCATGGTACCCTCAATACTCTTCTCCAGCATCAATTCTCCTTCTATCCTCCCTAGTCATTGCCCAGCTCTCTGATGCATAACAAGTGATTGCAAAGACCATGGCCTGTATCAGACGCAACTTAGTCTCCAAAGAGACACCATTGCTCTTCAGTACTTTGGAGAGGTCCCTAACAGCAGACTTTCCCATGGCAATACTTCTAATTTCCTGGCTGCTGGTGCTGAGAGTGTTGACTGTGGAGCCAAGCAAACTGAAGCTGTGAACAATCTCAGTCTCTTCACCATCCATCCTGATGATGCCAATTGGCCCAGTGGTGAGAATCTTTGTCTTCTTGACATTGAGCCTCAATCCATATTGTAGGCTGCAGTCCTTGACCCTCTGCAGCAAGCGCTTCAGGTCCTCCTCAGTTTCAGCTAGCAGGGTTGTATCATCTGCATATCGTAGATTGTTGATAGATCTTCCACCAATATAGACCCCACACTTCTCCTCATAGAGCCCAGCCTCCCGGATAATCTGTTCTGCATACAAGTTGAAAAGGTATGGAGACAGGACACATCCCTGGCGTACGCCCTTCCCAATTTTGAACCATGCAGTGTTTCCTTGCTCTGTTCTGATGACTGCCTCTTGGTCCAAGTATAGGTTTCTCATTAGCATGATCAAGTGTTCTGGTATTCCCATTCTTCTCAGAGTCAGCCACAGTTTATTCTGATCCACACAGTCAAGTGCCTTTGCATAGTCAATGAAACACAGATAGACATCCCTCTGTATCTATGTAATCTATGAATTTTTGTGCAGTTTTTTCCAAGGCTTACGTACTTCCATCCAAGTTTGATGTCCATGTGGCATTAGAATTGTGTTAAGTAATAATGTGCCTATAAGGGAGAGCTGGTGGCCTAGTGGTAGATAGTGTGCTGCCCAATGCAGAGTTGCAAAGTTTGAACCCACCAGCTGCTCAGCAGGAGACAAATGGATAATATTCTCTAGTATGGTTGTGGTGTTGTTACGTACAATCAAGTTAGAATCAACTCATAACTGACTCTTGAGTGGGTTTGCAGATTTTAAATTGAACGGGAGGAGTTTGTCCACTTTTGTCCTGCCGAACAGCTGGTGGATTTGAATCCCTGTGTTAGGGTTGACAGTGCAGTCTCTGAAAACGTGCTGGAGGGCTGACTGTGAGTTAGTTCATACTTGACAACATATAACAAAAACAAATTATGCCTATTAAAGAAACTTAAAAAATTACTCAGAGGCTTAGATTTAAAACACCACCACCACCACCACAAACATTAACTGTGATGCTGACGTATAAAATGCAATAATGGTACCCGTGGTGGACAGTGTTTGGTGGAGCTCCCCAATTAAAACAAGCAAGCTAGGAAGCACGTAGAGCTTTGGTGGCCTAGTGGCAAGAAGCTGCACTGCAATCCCAGAGGCGAGCGGTTTGAATACACCAGATGCTCTTCTGGAGAAGGAGGGACTATCTCCTCCTGTACCAGTCAGATCTGATTGGACCATGCACACACAAAAAAATTAAAAAACAAACAAACAACAACAAAACCCCACAAAAACCAAACAAGCTTTGAAGCAGGAGTGGCATCCACTTCTGAAATAGCTTGCCTCCAGAAGCTCTATGAACATGGGAAATGATGAAAGTTATATAAGTGTTCAGGTCTTTTGTTTATGGGGTCACTATGAGTCATCTATAACTTGGTGGTACTTAATAACAACAACAACAACTAACATATATTTAAGAAAAAGAGTTAAAACAGAATGTGCCAATAAACTTTTACAGAACTAATTTAGATAAACTCTTCCAGAAACAGAAAATCTAAGAAGCATTGGTCTGTTGCTTAAGTGTATGTCATAATAGGTTGCCAAGGAAGTCGTCATACATCATGAAGAAAAAGACTTCTCAGTCATCTTAATGTCTTTGAGCATGTTTGCGTAGTTGTTAAGAAAGGTGCCACCATGGGAGACCTTTTTTCCTTATTTTGGGAAATGAATCCTCCTCCCTCGCCTTTAACAATCCCCATTCCAAACCAGGATCATGAATGCCGGAAGGATGACTCTTGTGGAACAATAGGCAACTTCCTGCTTTGGTATTTTGTCATTATCTTGATCCTGCTGGTTTTCTCTAGGACTTCTGTCTGGGTAGGATATCCTTTTTAGTTTTAAATAATATTGTTTACTAATAAGTAATAATAAGTAAGTAAATAAGTTAAGGGCTGGTTAAGCCCTCTGCTGCCAACTGAAAGAACAATGGTTCTAAATCACTGGTCTTGGAAATCCTATGGGAAGTTCTCCTTTACCCTATATATAGAGTTGCTGTGTGTCAAAATCAACTTGAGGGCATACAATAGTCTGAGACCAAGGAATCTTGGTGGATGGTAAAGTGCATGGTTGCTAACTAAGAGATCAGTGGTTCAAACCCGTCAGCCCCTCTGAGAGCCAAAGACTTAGTGATCAACTTTTACAGAGATTACAGCCTATAGGCAACCCTATGGGGCGGTTCTACTCCGACAACTATGTGTTAGGGGATTCTCCAGAGACTATTTTTTCTTTCATGAAAGTAATCTTTTCTAGTTCATTTTCTAGTTTTAAAAATAGTGCATTCTCATTGTAGCATGACCAAAAATGTAGAAAAGTTTGAAGAGATAATTTAAATGTAATGTACTGTAATCGTTTTATTTGAGGATAACCACTGCCAATATTTTGGAGTATGTCTTTCTAATGTTTTTGGTTTTATCCTTATGCCAATTTCTTTCTATCCATTTTTCTTTCTAGCTTGGTTTTACATGACTGGTATCCACCTCTCTCTCTACCTTTGATCTTACATGATTGATATTATATTACATTTAATATCCTGCTTTCTTCCCCATTCACATAATAGCACTTTTAATGGCCTCCTAATTTTGTCTTGTAGTTGCATCATAAATTTTTTAAATTCTGCAATCTTGAGACAGGTAGTTTGTTTGCTATTTGGCCATGAGCTGGGATAAATGACTGTCCTGGTTGACCTTCAAATTAGTTTTGTAAGGAATCTATGGTGGCCTAGTGTCAAGAGGCTGTGCTGCAATCCTAAAGGAGTGTGGTTTTAATCCACCAGATGGATTAGGAGAAGGATGGAGAAGGATGGGCAATCTCCTCCTGTGCCAGTAGGATCCGATTCGACGGTATACAACAAGAAAGAAAAACTACTTTTATAGCTTTCATACAAAAGTTATCAACATATTTATGGTTGATATGTTGTAGATCTGGGGGTGGGGGCAGAACTTAGAAAGAGGCTAGATTCCCTGTCAGACAAAGAATTAACTGGAGCAGAACTAAAATCACCCTTTAGATCATCTACTTGCAGAAGAAAATTCCACACTCTTAGCAGGGACATAGCCTACTTTATCTGGACCGTGATGCCACATTATGATGGGTAACCAAGTTCTTATAGACTGCTGACACAGAATTCTGGTTGGCCATTAATTCCAGGTTGATGATTAATCAAACCCCATCACTGAGCAGCACAGCCAGATGCTGGCATGGCAGTGGTCAGCTAGATTGCATGCTCAGTCCACTCAAGATGGAGAGGGAACGGAGTGCTCTGTCCATGCCAGATGGATCCTATTTTAATAATTGTAGTCTCTCTTCCCTACATCCCCAAGAAAAAGCTCCAACTAAAGTTCTAAATGCTTCTTAAATGTGAATACTTTGCCAAAGGGAGATTGGGAGTAGTGATAGCTTATACACATCTTAGACTCTCTGGCTAAGTATATTGAATTTACTTGACTGGCAAGAAAAGCTACTTTAGAACATTTACCAAAAATTGAAATTGATCACTGACAATTTCATCAGGAAGCCCACTGAAAAGGTCTGAGGTATTCCTCTACTTTCTTGCTTGCATTAGCTCTTTGGGTTAACAGATCTCTGAGGCATAAGGACCTTGGGAAAACATGTCGTCCAGTCTCTTGTTTGTAAACAAGCCAGTTACTGCTGAATAGAGGATCACAAAAAATTGAGAAGACTCTCAGATTGACATAGTGGTTATGACAAGGGGCTCAAACATAATATCAATTATGTGGATGGCACAGTGTTTTTTATTTTGTTCTACCCAGGACCACTGTGAATTGGAACTGACTGAATGGGACCTAACAAGAAGAAGATAGTAACATTGTCCCCCTTTTTTATTGATAAGGCCCTAAGAAATTCAGTAACTTGTGCAGTGACACACAATTGATTCATAGCAGGGGAGGGGGAATAGCTTTTAGCTTCCTCCTCTTTTGTTGGTTTCGAAGTGTAGTGTGAAATGTTGAATTACATCTCTTCAGGGTGGATTAAACCAAAATTGTCCCAGAGGTTTCATCTTTCACCCTGCATCCCTGTGGCAGCTACAATCAGTTGGACTGCTTCTTTTCAATGGCCTCAGATTTGAAATCTGAGACCCAGATGTGAGCATGAGTGAGTCAAGGAGGATGAAATTTTCCCTTCACTTTGAACTCATTTTCTCTGCTCAACCATGAGCCTTTATTTACAAACCTTGGAGTGATGGCAAAATGTGAGGGCAATGTGTGGTGGTAATTATCCTTGAAAGTAAAGCACACCAATTTCCTCTGGGTTGGCTCCTTTGTAAGATGTATTTGCCCCTGTGCTTTCATAGATCAGAAATACTAAGTTCGGTGTATACATTTATTTGCTTAGTATTTATTTAGACTGCTAGTTACTAGTACTTTTCCAGATAATACTAATCCAAATTTCCCATTTTGTATAGGAGGAAATTGAGTGTCTGAGGTGGTAAATGGCTTAGCAAGATGACGGTGTTGATTCAAGGCAGAGAAAGCCTCAACCCACATTTCTTCACCATTCCACCTTGCCCCACTCACTACATCACACAAAGACAGTCAATAAGGTGCTTTTGGAAACCACAGTTCATATGACTCCACTTAACTTGATGTAAACTTTTTCTTTTGACTGTGGAATTATGTTTTCACTTGACATCAAATCAGACGTAGAAGCTTTTGGTGGAAATGTTGTCAACTCACCTTTGTTTTTAAACACTTTTAGAATGTGGGAAACTCATAGGAATGTACAAAGAATAAAATTAAAATCCCTCCAATTATATACCATGAGTCAGCTGCTCCTCTTTTCTGGGTTACTCTGGAAATCTTGAGTCCTCTTATTTTGTAAATTTGCAACCTCACGGAGCTCTGGTGGCCTAGTGGCAAGAAGCTGCACTGCAACCCCAGAGGTACATGGTTCAAATCCACCAGATGCTGTGCTGGAGAAGGACTGGCAATGTCCTCCTGTACCAGTCAGATCCAATTTGATGGCACACACACACACACACACACACACACACACACACACACACTTTGTAAACCTCAAAGGTTAAGTTGCCGCTTTAAACTTGGTTTAAAAGTTAGCAGTGGTTGGTGGTGATGGTTAGCTGCTGAGCCAGTTCCGCGGCCTGATGCCTCCTCCAAAAGGACTTCCAGCCATGGCCTTGCAGAAGCTGGTCACCTGGCCTCACTGTGAGTCACAAGGGACTCAAAAGCAACCAACAGCAATATCCAAATGTCAGGTTTATGATCTTTTCTTAATCATCCTCACACATGTCACTATAAAAAAACTTAAAACGCAAACTTCCTGCTGTTGTTATCGTATACTGTAGGGCTGGACATAGCTGACCCTACAGCGGGTTTTCAGAGGCAGTTAATTGCACAGGACGTAATTAATTGTCCACCCTTCTCCCACGGAGTAGCTGGTGACCACTAACTGTGTGCCTTTGGGGTTGCAGTGCAGCTTTTTACCACTAGGCCACCAGAGCTAACAAAAATTGGACCACTACAAAGAGGAACTCAATACTTATTGAACTGCACTGAATGTTTAAAATTAGACATTGTTGAAGAGCCTAAGGCAATGGTGTTTCTTAAGAAGCAATCATAAAGGGGAGCTCTGGTGGCCTAGTGGCAAGAAGCTGCAACTACAATCCCAGAGGTGCACGGTTCGAATCCACCAGATGCTCTGCCGGGGAAGGAGGGGCAATCTCCTCCTGTACCAGTCAGATCTGATTTGATGGTACACACACAAAAATAATAAAATAAAATTAAAAAAAGAAGCAATCATTAGTGAACAACACCAACGAATTGAGAATTGTCATTACTAATTTATATTTTCAACATAGATATCTGAGAAAAGCAAAAAGAATGAAGACAGTGGGACAAGCTCTCCAGAAAGTAAAGGTGAGAGCCAGAAATATCGAGCTGTGATCACAGAAATGTGTGCTGACTGTGGAAGGCAGATAACAGAGGTGACAAACTGAGAGGGTTGTATGGTCTCTCCACACTGGTGGTTGTTACTATAGAATCAAGAACTACACATAAAATCTTTTCCCAGTAATCTATTAGAAGATAAGCCTTTTTTTTTTAATTTAAAGGGAACTTCAGGTGATAATTTCAATTCATAGTTTGAAGATTTTCTTAGAGTGATACATTCAGGAATTCTTCAATCTCAGTGACCTAGTAAGTCCACATTCTGTAAAAATTTGAAATTCTGTTTCATGTTTTCTCACTCTTTGATCAGAATTCATTTCATTGATTCTATACAGAATTTTTCAGTAATGGTAACTGGGTATCAGCCATTTCTAGTTTCATAGTCAACCACCATTTACCTTAATTAGTAAAAAAATGTTTACCATGAGCATTGCATTCTTTTAAAGAATTATATAGATCAAAATTATATCAAGTGTCAACATTAACTCTAAAACAGAAGTTTAGGGGCAAGTAAGTCCAAGTCAGTTTTGGCTGACCATGTGGGTAAAAGTAGCTAGACTGGGAACACAGTGCAAAGTATAATTGATAGTACTGAATTGTACACGTGGAAAGCCGTTAATTAGTTCATGGCCTGCTATGCTTATTATCACCAAAAAGAAAATTTCAAAAAAAATCACTTTACTCATCTCCCTCTTCCCAACTCCTGGTAACCCTTAAGCTCTGCTGTGCTAGAAATTTTTAGTAACTGACTATCCAAAAATATATGTAAGTGTGTTTATGAAAATTTTTACTGATAAAACATACAATTTGCAAATAATAAGATATAAAAATATTTTGCTATGATCAGTTCCATAGTGTCATTTTGAGTCTCACTAAATGCTTTCCTTGCTTTTTGTCAAACATCTGTGTCCCTGGCCAATCTATGTATTTGACTGATAAACAAAAGTTGTTTTAGCACAAGTGTTATTGTTGTTTATTGTCATCTGAAGCCTTTCTATAACTATCATCATTTCTTAAAGTTCATAGAGTTTCCAGAGGCATGTTGTTTAGGAAGTGCATGCCACTATTACTTTCAAATATTACTTTCCTTTAATTTAAGGAGTAAAATGAAAGTTAAACAAAAAGAGTACACTAGAACTTAACTTGGTTGTCAATGACGCAAATGACTTTGCTGAGTTGGATTTTAGTTTCAGAATATGGTTGTTGTTAGGTTCCAACTCATAGCGACCCTTTATATCACAGAACAAAACACTGCCCAGTCATGGACCATTCTCACAGTCGTCCTATGTTTAAACCCACTGTGGCAGCTGCTGAGTCAATCTATCACTCTGAATTTTAGACTACTGGAAGAATAGTTCCTCATTTGTGTGTGTGTGTGTGTGTGTGTGTGTGTGTGTGTGTGAGTTATTCTCATGCAATGGCTGTAGGTATGACACTTTGAAATGTCACCTGAATTAGTAACATGCTTTCCACCTGTCTTTCTAGACAATTAATCAAGCTCTGATTTTAAATGCTTGCTGATTTTCATGGTACAGTTATTCCCATAAGTCAATTTATTTTTTAAAAATATTTTTTGCAGAGCAGAGTTTAGTTCTGTTATACATAGGGTCGCTATGAGTCACAAGTGACCCGACGGCACATAACAACAACAACAACAATTATTAATTTTAATAAAAATTTACAGAGATTTTGGATTTCCATTCATTCATTGTTGCACTTTTCTCTCTGCCCACCTCTCCCCTCCAGTTCAATCTTCTCTTTGAAAGGTAAAAGAAAAAGTCTTTCATTGTTATACAATCCCTCCCCCAAAGTCCACTCCACTAGTTAGCCTTCATTCTGGACTCCTGTCATGACAGTAATCCTAATCATATATCACTTTTAAATAGTTCTCTCTCATCCATTTCAATGCAGTATATATAATTGATCCCATCTTTCTCAGTCTCCCCCCCAACCCCTATGTCAGTCCCGTTTTACAACAGTGGCACTATGCAGTATTTGTTTTTTTGTGCCATAAGTAAGTTTCAAGTTGCCCACAGGATCTTTCTGGGTGAGGAGCTGGACACACAAGTCTATCAGCACACATTGCTTAATAACTTCAAAAGCATAAATCAAAATACAGTAAGAAAATCATTAGGAAGTGACAGGAGTGATTAACCTTATTTTTAATACACTGATTTAATTGTAAGTTTGTAGAATTTAATTTTTAGTAATTATGATTTAATAACAGTTTCACAAAATTCTTGAAACTTGAACACTCAGCTCTTGTGAGCTGGTTCAAGCCCCTCTAACAGACCTCTGCATAGAGAAAGATCCCTTTCTGTTTCCTGTCATCTTCATCACATTCATATTACATTTGAATCTACCTAACTTCAGGGCCAAAGAAAAAGAAACTTCTCTGAAAAAGTTGAGAGATCTTTCCCCTCGATCTTATATCAGGGTTCCACAAAAGGTCAGCCCCATTCTGACCCATCTGGCCTGTAGGCGATGGTGGTGGTGCTGGATCACGGAGCCAGCCTCCTGCAGATGACAGGAGAAAAGTGGTGGCTTGGCATCTAGCCAGTAAGAATAAGAAGTTGTAGTCTGAAGTTACCGTAGCCAATGATGCGTCTCACTAACTTTTGATTTGTGTTGTTCGTTTCTAGCAAGCAAAGATACTTCCTATAAGCAGGACAGCAAAGATTCCATCTGGGACTCTTTAAAAGGGATAAAGAAAACAAAGCATTTCCAACTGGCCCCTGTCACGGACTCAGAAATGGTTTTGGTCAATGCTTATCTTGAAGGAAGACGATCCAGGCTCCAGTCTCAACTCAACCAAAGAAAGCAAATCCAACACGACAGTGAGAGCACTGAATGTGAGAGTGAAGAGTCAAACTCGGCACTCTCCTCGTGGAAAGAGAGTGAGAATGAACTCCAGCCATCCCCAGCCAGCATCAGGAGGAGGAAACCAGGCCTGCGGCAAAACAATCTGAGAAAGATTTCCCAGAGCTGGGAAAGACCCTGCCTCCATTGTAAAGCCGTAAGAACCAATGAATGGTTGATTCGCCATTTCCTTCAAGAGCCTTCAGTGGAAGCCCCTAAGAAGTAAGCTGTGTAAAAGGAAAATTCTGTAGCCACCATTAATACCAAATTCAGTTCATTTTGACTTTTATCAACTCTTAAACTTACTTGAAGTCAAATGAAAGAGGTGAATGAAACACAAAACCTCACCAGAACGCTAGGTGAGAAGGTTTTGACGACAAGATCTCTCAACTAATGACGTATGGAATTCAAGAGGTACAAATTCGGACAAGTCTTTGTCCAAACATCAGGCCAGTGATTTTGTGCATGACATCATTGGAACATCAAAGATCTACATCTATTGTGCTTTTTACTCAGCTGAGTTACCTGGCAGAGATTTTGTGCCTTAAATGTATGTATTTTGTTTATGTCTGCAATACAAATAAGAAACCTCTTTGAAAACTAGACTATGCTGTGAAATCATTTACATTTACCCATACATTTTGAAGTCTAACTGAACAAATTAATATATTGGGTTAAGCTAGTTGGAACAAATTAATATATTGGGTTAAGCTAGTTGGAATAGAGGGGTCTCTGGACGATGAGAATGAGTTACACTTCCCTAAAACAGAGCTCGGGTGGCCTAGGGGCGAGGAGCTGTGCTGCCAGCACAAAAAGGCACATGGTTCAAATCCACCAGCTGCTCCATGGGGAAAAGATGGGCACTCTTCTCCCACATGATTTACAGCTTCCGGAAGCCCACTAGAAGGTCTGTAAGAGTCAATTCTGACACACTGATACAGAACAACGACTGGCCTAAAGGGGAGCAGTTTAAACCTACCCAGAAGTCCCATGGAAGAAAGTCCTGGAAATCTGCTTCTGTGAAGATCACAGTCAAGGAAACTATAGGGTAGTTCTGTAATGAATGGGGTTGCGTGAGCTTGAATGACCTAGGAGCGATGATTTAGTTAGAACAGAAGGGCCCATCCTCTCTACTGTTCTAACTCCACCAGGGCTGTATCGCTACACCTGCATCAGGTGAGGGCTGGAGAGGGGAAGGAGATGGAGTAGCTGGAGCAGGATGTGATTCCGAGGTAAGACCACAGAGGGAAGAGGCAGCACGGACCAGAGAAGCAGCTGGGCTACAGGCCGTCACAGTGATTGTTCAAAGAGCTTGTTGGCAAGTTCGCCAGGAGCTCTCAGCTGTGGGGAATTTAGGCCAGCCTTGGAGGATGGGTCTACTTCACAGAGGGTGCCTGGGAGTCAGAGTTGACTTGAGAGCAGCGGGCTTTGCGTGTTTGGTTGGCAGATTGGTGCCCTGTAGATCTTTTTGTGGATGGCAGAACCTCAGTTGGGATGTAAAACAAGACCCAGAGCCCAGAAGTAATGCTGGCAAGGCCAAGATAAAGCAGTGGGAAATCTGGTCACATGGCTAAAGTTCAGAGAAGGGCTTAAGTCTTGCACAAAGATGTGGTTCTTAAAGAAAAGGAAGACTACGGAGCTCTGGTGGCCTAGTGGCAGGAAGCTGCACTGCAATTCCACAGGTTGTTGTTGTTATGTGCCGTCGAGTCGCTTGCGACTCATAGCGACCCTATGTACAAC